ACTTCCCAGGAGCGATGGGAGCGATCGAACGCAGATGTACTTTGTGTGTTGGTTTCGCTTCGGTCATAGCTCAAAAAGAACTCAGTATTACGTTCATGCGTAACTCACATCAGGGTTAGTGTAGTAATGTAAAATACCTTTAGGTTTAGACATGGTGGGACATCTTTTTTGTATTGGAGATGGAAAACGTACAAGCTCAAGAAGTAGTAAATAACATATGCAAGAGAGGAACTATTACTAAGACATGGTATCCATTCTTGCTAAATTTTTAAACCCCAATCCCTCGTTATATGGTCTTTTAACATCAATACCGTAACCAAAGGGTAAATTGGGACCCTATTACTAAGACTCCGCTGTCTGTCAGTCTGTCTATCCGTCTGTCAATCATGAATGGCTGTATCTCATGAACCTTGATAGTTAGACAGTTAAAATTTTCACAGATGATGTATTTCGGTTGTCGATACTAAAAAAAACAGAATAAAAATATTTAAGTGGGTCTCCCATACAGCAGACATGATTTTTTCCCGTTTTACAAACAAATTGTAACATTTATACTTGTAGATTAAGTTTTACCGATTTTCGGTTTAAATCCCAACAGATGATATGGTAGACAAGCGCTTGCCGTGTTTTGGCTGAAATATAAATAAATATTATAAAAAAACAGAGGATGGATTTGTGTAATGACCAATTGGGGTCCGGCAGTGATTTACAAACTCTTTTAGTTTTACTTTACCTGTGTCAACAACACAGCTTGTGAAACCTTAGCAAATGATGACACAATGCGACAATTTATTGTGACAAAATATGAACAAATAGTAGTATATGGACAGATTAAGTAAATTACTTAACTCTTATGGTTTTATTCCCGGGCTCATATAGGGCTAAGGTATCCCCTGCCTGTCGTAAAAGGCGACTAAAAGGGGACACCGATGGGCAGCAGCACGAAGTGGTCTCGTGCTGCTGCAAGAGGATGAGGGAATCGGAGAAGGTTTATCCTACTCCGAGGCGTGCTCAGGCGTAGTACCGAGGGACACCGGTGCGTTCCATGGGAGATCCCGGACCCTTCCAAATGTACAGAAGGCGGCCACCGAGGGGGTTTTAGTGGGTAAGAACCCCACATAAACCTGTCATGTAAAGTGACAGGGTATCTTTCGAAGATTTACCCCCGATACCAAAAAAAGGAGGTTTAAAACCTCGCTAAAAATAGATTGTCAATATAGTCTTTTCGACTGTAACATTGTACACAGATAGTTGATAATACTTGTCTTATTCGCAGAGCTTATTTAGTACCAACCGGGCAGACGTCGAGTATTTTCTACATAAAAATCAAAACTCTTCGCAAATTTTATCTTCATTAATTTTCACTGAATAAAAACCTAATTTTCTCTTATTCAAAATCAAAATCAATTTTTTATTCTGAGAAAATTCCATTCCTACGTATTCCTGCCTTCTGCGACTGTCTCCAGTGGCGGATATTCAACGTGGCAATTTCTTCCCTCAATTTCCCTTCCGCGGCCTCCTTCCGGATGAAAAAGCCCTAGTAATATGCGACAAGCATCCGACGTACTGTCTACTGCGTTCGACAGTACGTCGAAAAATTTCGACTTGACTGTCCAGTCTATAGACTACAATTCGAAAAGATGAAGATAGTATATATAAGCTAGCAGACAGAGTAGGTCTGTTAATTTTGGAAGTCGTTAATTCTTATATTAATTCTTACTGTGCCACCAGTCTGCTATTGCACGAATATAATAAAATATTGGGCATGCTCATCCGAGGAAGTACGACGGCCTCGAAAGACCAGGGTGAAGTAGAAATATACTTTCAGGTTTCGTCTGATGAAGTAAACAGGACGCACTTTTTTAAAGGTTGGCAACGAATTGCAACCCCTCATTTGAACCACCAGCTCTGTTATAGACCGGCGAACTAAACTAAACTACTTATACCGCATCATTAATGTTTGAAAGATCGGATCGAATATCATCATTGGCGAAGATGCCACAGCCTTACAATAGACTTGTCGATTTACCTCAGCTGGATGGTTCGAGCTTCTCTCTTAAAATGGTATCTAATACTCCAATGTCCCATAAGAAAAGCTCTCGTACAGAACAATGCAAATGGCGACCAATAGGGAGATAATGACGTCATGTCACGTACTACACACGCCCAGACGGGCGTCCCATTTAACGCGACTCGAATCTCGTCTGAAGAACAATAATCGATATCGTTCAATCAAATAAGCGAACTTGCTATCCTAAGAGAATTAAAGCTCGCTCTGGAATTTTCCCGCATGTATTTTTTTAAAAAACATTTTTAAAGACGTTTTACAAACATAAATTTTATGAGGACGAACACCCAGATTCGAAATAATTATCTTTGGATCACACAAAAAGTAAACTCAAGTGGGAATCGAACCAACGACCCCAGGCTCCCAAGGCAATGCCTTGGCAACTGCGCCACGGAGTCATCAAATATATGGTGCTCTTTTGACGATTCTGCGGAAACATAAGACCAGCGTAAAGTGGAAGTATGACAAAAGCTTTCGCGTTTCGTCTGGTGAGTGAGGTAGCCGGAGCCCAATTTTCAAAAAGTTGTCAACGCATCTGTAACCCTCGGGTGCAACGGATATCCATGGGCGGCGGTATTCACTTGTTCACAAGTGAACCAGCTGCTCGTTTGGCAACTTTTCACATAAAAAAAAATAATATCTATTATAACATTATTAGGAAAGTGGGAAAAGGTATTTGCTGCGCCGTCCACCGAGAACTTAATTACTATCGAAAGGAATTAATGTTCAGCAATAGCCAGCTCGTTACAAATTGGTCTACTTTTCACGCTTTGGTTGACGATAGCACGAGAATTTCGTATATGACGCAACAGGTTGCCCCGGCGTGTTGTCACAAATGTAAGTTGCTGCCAAGTTTGTGGTTACTTCCAATATGGAGCGTGCCCCAATAACAAATGGATCATTTTTATTTATTACTTGAACAGTTGAGATTCTTGTTAATACATTCGTAACAATTTACGTTTATTTTCGCATGAAATGTTGGAAAATGAAAACAAGCAAATTCGGTACGTTACTACATAAACTACGAAAAATTCTGTCTATTTTATGGATAGTAAAGTGTGGTACACTCTTTAATATTTAAATCAATAGAGTTTTATTAGCTCATCAGACAAGAGTTATATGATTTATTTGTTGTTTTCATATTAATATTCGTACTGCAAATATTTAAATTTAAAACGGCATTCTTAAAGACTTGGAATCAGCGACAGGGCTAGGATTTCAATATGATAGGCTAGCTTTTTTTAAAGTACTTACATATAAACAATTATTTTAGACGGGTGCTCAGTGAAAGGTGCAGTTCAGCGAAATTAAAAAAAATACTTGTGAAAAAGTTGTCTGAAAGAGGAATTTTCATGAAGCAATTTATTCGAACTATAGAATACAAATTTAACTAAATTAAACTATAATTAAGATCAGTATCACCGCTATTCCTTCAAGAACTCGCTTTCTTCAGCTTTCTTCTCAAAACTATGTTCTGAACAGTTTAATATTTGACGATATGATAATGGAACCAATGGCTGTTACATCAATACAAGAGCACGTAGTCCGCACGTAATCCGCGTCTTTCAATCAACAACACACGCTTACAATCCATGAATAACATAAAATCAAATGCATCCGAACAGCGCGTTGGATAAGAATCAACAATCAAGTCCTCCCTGTGATGGTGTTCAAATCACCCAAACTCCCTCCCACACGTCTTTCGTAAAACACCGGGGTTCCGCACTTAAGAAAATGCGAAACATCTCAATTTTCAAATGCGTGCATATCAAATGCAAATCCGTGACGTCATCGGGCGGGTCGAAGTTCAGTTTTGAGATGGTGCATTGGAAAATGAAGACTCAAGTTGTAACTCTAAACGTGACATCGAAACGTTTCCGGCATTTACGTTCTTGACATCTGGACATACCTCGGACATTTTAAAGTGATCCCTCATCATGGGCGAAGAAGCTAGTATCTTATGATACAACAATGAGTATACTTCTTGCAATAGAACAAAGGGTTGCAAAGAATCTTTTAACGTAACATTATACACAAGTTATCACTTCGATTTACCAACATCCTTTAGTTTGGTTTACGTTGCACGATAGATTACCAGAGACGCCCGTCTTAGTCTGGGATTATCTTGTACTAATAATCATAATTGCTATGCCTTATTTACATTGCTTTTACTCGATGATACATTCGCGCGATTCTTCGAAGTGAAATAATCGATTATTACGAAATTACAGAATTTTGCTAGCTTACGAGCTCCATTGCTAATTTAATTTTAAACCAAAACCAAACAAACGGACTGTTCCACAGTGGTTAGCCTAATTTCAGTGCGATTTATGTTTAGTGTGTATAATGTAACGTAATGGATTATTAGTATATTAAACTTATTGAGTTCCTTTCTCGATGGCTACATGTTTACGATGTGTTTTATGCATTTTGATACCTATATTAAAGTACATAATGAATATTAAACAAACAACAGCTACGTAGACAGCATTCGCGATAATTAAAATAAACGACCCATCATATTGATAGCTACCCTCAAACGTATGTCGTATTACACTCGTTCTAGATTTCTTTATTTATAAGTTTATGCTTAACACATTATACTGTATTGTTATGTTAAGGTGTACAGCTAATTGTCACTTCTAAAAAAAGAAATTCTTCAGCAAAAATTTACAATCTAAGTTGAGTAACTGCTACAACTGTCATATATAGGTTTAGAATTATTTCTATAGGGTAAAACTTCCCATTTCGTCATATTAGCTTCTAATATTCCTTTTCATATAAGTTTTAAAGCGTTTAAAAATCAGTGGAAGTAAATATATAAAATAGTATTTTTAATTAAAATAATGTATGTCAGGCACTAAATTACACGCTTGAAAATATGAATTTAAGTAAAAAATATTAAAAAAAAAAACAAAACGTTTAACCGTACCTGCCTGTTCTTCCATCTCGGCCGCCACAAGCACTTTACAAAACGTCCCAAAAAATTAATACTAACCCACTAAATACTAATCCAACTAACTTAACAACTAATATCACACGAAAGCGATTACAACCGCCGGAACCGAGAAGAGGATTCAATCACACGAACGCGTTCTATTGTCTTTCGGCGTGGTCTTTTCTAGCCCATTTGTTGAGCGGAACTTTATCGATGGATGCCCCTCACTTGAGTTTGACTCGCGTGCGGTACCGCGGCATTTGAGAGGGCGTGCGATGCGTGCAGCCGTCAAACTCTACTGGCGGGTCCGCCTGAAAAAAGGGACTAGGGTCGAGCGCGGCGCACTAAATATATCGATATCCGCCATTAGACGTCGGGTACGGAGTGCGGTCTTCGCCGTAAAACGTTTCCAGACTAAACCCATCTTGCGATTTCCACCACCCTTGTCCAGCGTCATCTTTAAAATGTTTAGTTTTATTAGTTTCACGTGTGTGGCTCGACTGGTGCAGATGCTGAGTTTTTGGTTATGTTCTCGCGGCTTGCAGGTTCGAGTCCTGCGCTAGACAATTACTAGTGATAATAAAATGTCCCCGCGACGCGGAATAACTTGTAAACATTGGAGTTTAAGAGTTTTAAAATATTTACGAATGTAATTATCACTTTTAATCATCCACCCGTAATAAGACCGTATTTAAATGAGGATTATCTACAATAATTTACACAATAAGACGCAGTTATTCGTTAGTCTTTTTTTTATTTAAACACATCCACTTGACTTACTAGCTGTTAACCGCGGCTTCGCCTACGTGGTCAAAGGGAATTAACAATCAGTTTTTGAGTATACACTAGAATATCTCGCAGATGGCTGGATTTTTTCCTACTTAGTTGACACTATCATTGCCTATATTTTGGACAATTCACACAATATCTTTTATAAATTATAGCCTATGTCTTATTATAATTATATATGATGTATAAGCTATATGATTTTAAGTTTCATTAAAATCTATTCAGTAGTTTTTGCGTGAAAGTGCAACAAACATCCATCCATACATACAAACATTCGCGTTTATAATATTACTAGCTGCTGCCCGCGACTACGTCTGCGTAGAATTGGCAGAAGGCGTAACATTCAGACAGAAAGACAGATATACATGAAAATATGTATTTAAATTATAGCCTATGTGTTATTCTGATGTATAAGCTATATTATTGTAGTTTGATTAAAATCTATTCAGTAGCATTTGCGTGAAAGAGTGACAAACATCCATCCACAAATACAAACTTTCGCCTTTATAATATTAGTAAGGATATTAGTAAGAAAGTAAGGATGAATAAGGATAGTAAGGATATTTGGGGCAGTTAATTTTCGGGACCGGAACTCGCCAGTCCCTTATTTTTAGATCTACTAGGTCTAATAAGCAGATGATTCCAATAGCTAATTTCTTATCGTATTCCAAGTTCAAACACCCAGTCTTATTTACAATTATTCAATGAAGTTCAGTAAAACTCAGTTTATTTTATGCATAACGGGTAATTAACTAAAACGTCTGTTAATTATTGTTATAATGATTAATATTTCTATTAATATTTTTTTTATGATTTTAATGGTCACTATTGTAATTTTTCTTGTTCAATAAATTATCATTAAGGCTTTTTAATGAGTGAATTCAACGTTAAGCGAAATCCTAACCTTAAATTTTATGAAAGCGTAAAATACAAGGAACCTGATATTATTTATGGACTATTAATCGAGCTACAACTTTTGTGTGGTAGGGCCATGCAACAGTGTTCGTGTTGCACGAATGGGCAGGTCCGTCCGGATTAGTACCACGACCTCGCAGAAGACCGGCGTCAAGGAGAAGTTTTACACTTCTGCGTTTCGTCTGGTGAGTGAGGTAGCCGGGGCCCACTTTGTTAAAGGGTGGCACACACACATCTGCAACTCTACGGTGTTGTAAATGTCCATGGGCGGCGGGTATCACTAAACATCAGGTGAACCGCCTGCTCGTTTGCCGCATAAAAAAAAGAAACACATATGATCAACTGATGGAGTATTAAAAAAGACGACTTGATTTTAAAACGAATCATACACCTACTATTAAGCAAAGCAAAGATGATTTGTATTATCATACAAATCATCATTTGTATTTGTATGTTCATGACTTTACTGACACCGAAATATAAAAAGAGAAAAGTCGGACTCGCACACGAAGGGTTCTGCACCATTATCCATAAAAATGGCAAAAAAAACATGTCTGTTGGACGACTTAAAATTTTTTTTATTCCGTTTTTTAGCATTTGTAGCGGCAAAATATATAAATCATCTGTGAAAATTTCAACTGTTTAACTATCATGGTTCATGAGATATATATAACAGACAGACAGACAGACAGCGGACTCTTAGACAGTCAGCCGACTCTTAATTTTGGCCAATATATTCATGAGTCATCACTAAGTTATTTACTACCGGGTTTACTACCTTAAACAGTGCAAGCGAGAATTGGTGCAACGTTTTCTCACCGTATACAAAATTTCCACATATATTAGAATATATTATAGAATATTATATATATATAATAGAATACATTATATTGAGCGTAAATTATTACTGAATTTATACACATAAACTTATACTATACTAATAAAATATATTTCAATATCAGTTAAAAAGCAAATATCTTCAGCGGTGCCGTAGTTATCGAGTTAGATTATCATTGTCGGAATTGAAACGTATGCCAGACATAATTTTAGATTAATTTTAATGTCTTACGTGGAAAAATATTTTTGTCATATTTGTGTCCACAGTATGGCTAAAACTTTGCCAGCTATCTCGCTCTGGAACTTCATAAATCATTATTGATTGAAATTTGTGTTTATACAAACATACATAATTATATACTTGTCTACACCAACGAACTCGGAATTTTTCCTTTATGTGTGCTGTAAACACGGATGGACGGACGGACAAGAGAGTGATCTTATAAGGGTTTCCTTTTTTACGTTTTAAGGTACAGAACCCTAAAAGGAGTGTTATCATTTTAATGGACAGTCGTTGATGCCAGGCTTGCGTGGTTTATGTTAAAATCGGCGCGCACTACTCCAAACGTACCTGTCATATTAGAATTACATCTTTGACATAGTTTATCACTCCTCACATCAATTATTACCCTAAGTTCAGCAATAGAAATACATCATAATGGTTACGGCGTAGCAACGCACATTGCGTGATTCATTCGTGATTACGCCAATTATCGCTATCGCTACGGCGTAGCATCGTAACGGCTTATGGAATATCAACGACTTTCAAAGCTTTGCAAACCATAAGTTATGGTCAATGTTGAGAGAAATTTTCTTTTTAAATCGAAACTCGAAATCAATCTGTCTCCAATTTGATGTGGGTAAATACGAAATTACTGACGAATACTTGCAACGGAATATAAATGCATATTATTGCATATTAATACATTCTTATTAATATCCAAACAGTATTGATAATTTTACATTTAAAATAATACAAAAAAATAAATAAGTCACTCTTGCACTAACACAGATGTTTAAACGTCCATGTGTTGGGCTCTCGTTACTTTAGTCACCGCGAAATGGAAATATTGATCTTCTTTACGCAGGTCCTCGCTTAATCCTACTACTTCCCTGGAAGAGACACCTCAATCGTATATCAAGAAAGTGTTGTCCGGTTCTCCTACAGAACGTAGTGATACACTGAAGGAACCAAATGCAATAAGTACTTGTAACGGTTCAAATAGATTTGCATGAGAAGAAAGAAATTAAATCTTACAGTAGCTATAAAATATTTTCATTTTAAAAGGGATTTTCAAAGTCGTGAGGAAGTTCAAAGAAGTGATGAATACGAATAAAATGTCATTAGCCTTCGATCCTCAGATCCAGAACCCATTAGTTGTAGTAAATCGATGTATATCTCGTATATATACATACTTTTATAGAGATATATCGTGATATGTACGAGTAAGCTTTATGTATCTATTTCTTTTTAACATTCATAAACTGTTTGTTTTGTTATTGAGTGTTATTTTTAACTTCCCAGTTCGGCTATGGTGGCATTGACACAAAATTCAGCGATCACGGCTAACCTGTGAGTGTATTTTTACAGTATCAATTAGGCATACACACACCCACAGGTGACCTTCCCACTCGCGCGGCCTGTCGTAAAGCCAAGGACGCGCTGTCGCCTCAAACGCGGGCGGCGCGTGCAAATACGCCATGTGTACTCGCCATTACCGGGCCAGGTGAGGGTGTGGGCGGTGAGCCACCCCCTCCTATTTGCCGAGGGACAAATTCGGATAGTTGGTTTGTGGGATTGCGCTTTTGTAAAACCATTCCAAGAAATGGATAACAAGATGTGAAAACATAGACTTATTCCACAGTTAGTTTCCCTTTTCTGACAGTTGGTTTTTGTGCTTTACGTCTTTTTTCAAAAAAAAAACCTTACCTCTGCTTTATGCTAAGATAATCGCCTGTTGTAGCAGCGTTTTATGAACATAAATAAGGAACTACAAACCAATATCACATTTGTTTGTAGTTTGTAGTATCGCAAGTTTTATGTACAAATTTTATATTTTTTATTACTGTCAACCTTTGAGTGGAAGATGGAAAATTAAAGAAGAAATACAAAACCTATCATTGCCAAACTAGTTGTCAAGTTCAAACGCTTTAAAACACAAAAATTTTAACAGCTACGTTGCCTTCCTTCATTGTTTAAGCAAGATCATACGCAACGGCAAAATGATAAACGAGTGTTGACAGCCATTGTTAAACTATTATCATGGTCTTCATAACATGAGTCGTTTGTCTAATAGGGATTGTGCCAACCAATGCTTAACATAAGAAGGAAGTACCCAAGAACTGTTTTAAGTAATAAATATGTATGTATAAAAGTAAAGAACAAAAAAATAAGACTTTGTTGAATTAAATATTAGACTACACTAATATTACACTTGATACGATAATTAAATATTAGACTACACTAAT